GCGGTGTCCCCCTGGTCGAAATGTGCCCACCAGGCTTCAGAGCATTCCATCAGCCGAGGGCCCAGGGGAGGGGCGGGGGGGTGGCGGTTATTATTAACGAAGATCTGGGTCCGAGGGAGACCACTGTGCCTCAGATAGCCGGATGTGAGTCCCTCCTTGTGAGGTGGGGTCATGGGGTTCAGATGGGCTTGTTGCTTACGTACCTGGCTCCCTGCCGTGTGGCAACAGCCCTACCCGAGCTACTCGACGTGATAGCCACGGTGGCAGTAGATACACCCAGGCTTTTAGTCATGGGTGATTTCAACTTGCCATCCGCTGGTGAAACGTCTGAGGTGGCTCGGGAGTTCATGGCTTCCATGATGGCCATGGACCTGACCCAGTTAGTTCATGGCCCTACTCACAGGGGAGGTCACACTCTGGACCTGATTTTTGTCTCTGGCCAGTGGTTGAATGGTCTTGTTATTGGGGATATAGATATGGAACCCTTGTCATGGACAGACCACTCACTCCTTCGCCTGGATCTTTGAACCGCTGCCCCCCACCACAGGGAGGCGGATCCAATTAGATGGATCCACCCCAGGCGCCTGATGGATCCTGAGAGGTCATTGGGCCATTTCCTGAGGTTCTAGCACATGACTCGGCCTAGGACCTGGTAGCTGCCTGGGATCGGGCGGCTGGTGGAGCCTTGGACCGAGTCGTGCCTTTGCAGCCTCTGACCCGGTGCCGATCCCGTGCGGCTCCTTGGTTCACCGAGGAGCTGAGGGAAATGAAGCGCCGGAAAAGACGCCTGGAGAGCGGTTGGAGGGCCAGTCTCGCTAAGTCTGATCGAACACTGGTAAGGTCGCATATTAAGACCTACCTAGTGGTGATAAAGACGGCAAAGTTTAATTACTTTTCCGCCTCTATTGCGTCATCAGGGAATCGTCCGGCCGCCCTGTTTAGGGTGACCCGCTCCCTGCTCCATCCGGGAGTGCGGGAGGATCCCTTGGAAGGCAGGGCGGAGGATTTTGGACAATACCTGTATGACAAAATCGCTCAGATCCGGCGGGATTTGGACTCTGACTGGGTAGATCGGGGCAGAGTGACGAGGAATAGTCTTGAGAATGTTGTCTGGGAAGAGTTTGACGCTGTGACTCCCGATGATGTGGACAGGATTTTGGGGAGACTTAGTGCGGCCACATGTTTACTGGACGCGTGTCCCTCCTGGTTGGTACTGGCTTCCCGGGAGGTTACACGAGGCTGGCTCCAGGGTGTTATCAACGCTTCGCTGAGTGAGGGCCACTTTCCCGCCGCCTTGAAAGAGGCGGTGGTGAGGCCTCTCCTCAAGAAGCCGTCCCTGGATCCGGCAATATTGGCCAACTATCGTCCTGTCTCCAACCTTCGCTTTATGGCGAAGGTTGTTGAGAGTGTGGTCGCGCAACAGTTCCCACAATTCCTGGAGGAAACATCTTATCTAGATCCGTTCCAGTCAGGTTTCAGGTCTGGGCACAGCACGGAAACGGCATTGGTCGCGTTGGTTGATGATCTCTGGAGGGCTCGGGACAGGGGTTGTTCCTCTGTTCTGGTCCTGTTAGATCTCTCAGCGGCTTTTGATACCATCAACCATGGAATCATGCTGCACCGGCTAGAAGAGTTGGGAGTGGGAGGCACTGTGTTGCGGTGGTTCTCCTTTCTCTCCGACCGGTCGCAGTTTGTGTTGGCAGGGGGGCAGAGGTCGACCTCGAGGCCTCTCATCTGTGGAGTGCCGCAGGGATCGGTCCTCTCGCCCCTTCTGTTCAACATTTATGTGAAGCCGCTGGGCGAGATCATCCGTGGCTTTGGGGTGAGATACCACCAGTACGCTGATGACACCCAGCTGTACATCTCCACCCCAGGCCACCCCAATGATGCCCTTGAAGTGATGTCCCAGTGCCTGGAGGCTGTGCGGATCTGGATGGGGAGGAACAGGCTCAAGCTCAACCCTTCCAAGACTGAGTGGCTGTGGCTCCCGGCATCCCGATATAGTCAGTTGACTCCATCACTGGCTATTGGGGGAGAGTCTTTGGCCCCCACAGAAGGGGCTCACAATCTGGGAGTCCTCCTGGATAGGCAGCTGTCCTTGGAGGAACATCTGACAGCTGTAACCAGGGGGACCTTTTGTCAGGTTCGCCTGATTCGCCCTTTCTTGATCGGGATTCCCTGTGCACAGTCACTCATGCCCTCATCACCTCTCGCCTTGACTACTGCAACGCTCTCTACATGGGGCTCCCCTTGAAGAGCACCCGGAGGCTCTTCGGGTCCAGAATGCAGCAGCGCGGGTAGTGATGGGAGCAGCATGGCGCTCCCATGTAACACTGCTCCTGCGCGAGCTGCACTGGCTCCCTGTGGTCTTCCGGGTGCGCTTCAAGGTGCTGGTTATCACCTTTAAAGCGCTCCATGGCATCGGGCCTAGCTATCTTCGAGACCGCCTGCTGCTACCAACGACCTCCCATCGTCCCGTGCGCTCCCACAGAGAGGGCCTCCTCAGGGTGCCATCAGCCAATCAATGCAGGCTAGTGACCCCCAGGGGGAGGGCCTTCTCTGTGGGGGCACCTACCCTCTGGAATCAGTTGCCCCCAGAGATAAGGAGAATCCAAGACCTTAGCGCCTTCCGCCGTGCCCTTAAAACCCACTTTTTCCAGCAAGCAGGGCTGGCTTAAGAAGAAATTTTAAATGTTTTAATTGGTTTGTATTTTTAATTTTGGGCCAAATTTATATATATTTTAATTGTTTTTAATATTTGTATTCCATGTTTTTTAATTCTGGCTGTACACCGCCCTGAGTCCTCAGGGAGAAGGGCGGTATATAAATTTAAAATAAAAAAAAAACTGTCCTTATATTCCCAGGTCCATGACAGTCTTGTATACAAATCATCCCCTTTCTCTATTTTATCAGTAGGGAGGTACTTTTGTCAGTGGGTACAGACTTCCCATATTCTTGATATTTATGGAGATTTTCAGTCATCCAGGTCATGGTTGTCATAAAGGTGCTTTTTTTCAGAGATGAAGTAGCTTCTTGGATGATAAGCAAAATTCTTCCAAGAAAAACCAGAAAGTCTAGTTTTCTCTTGAAACAGCACTTTTGGGACATAACCTTGATATTTATGAGTTCACCTGCAGTCTAACTAGGAACAGTGGAGGATATATAAGGGAAAGATGTTACAGAAGATTGAAGCTTCTGCAGTCTTTAATATAAATGGTATGAGTGGCAATGCTAACTAGTAATAAAGGGGCAACCCTGTTATCTCTAGCTTATTAGAAACAACAGAAGCAAAGTGAAGATCCCAAAATCTTTGTAAACCTAGATCCACAATTGATCAGTTATGCCTGATTATGGATACAGCTTTGTGAATAACACACCATTACAAGATAGCACATCTGACTAATATGTACACAGGGGCCCATGATGGATTGTGAAGAAATTATGTAAGGAACAGTATGTTTAGGAGTTAACATATGATATGTTGACACTCTGACTCAATTTAGATCCACAATTGTTTTCACACTTTAGCTTGTGTAATGTAATGTTATGTATGAGGTAAATCATAATTGATTTTAAATTATTTCCAACACGACAGAAAACCAAGGATGTTTTCTTGTATGGGGGAGGAGGGGGGGGTTAATACTTTAGCATATAGGATCACCCAAATATTTTTCCTGTTGAAGATAAATCAATCTGGCACCTAAAATCTTCTCACCACCTGCACTCTGAAACATCTCTCTGGAGATTTATACAGCTCTCCCTGATTGTTCAACATATTTTTTGGAAACTTGGATTAGCTCCTAGGCCTGGGGTCAGGTTGGTTGTTGAGCCTCTGCTACTGTTTTATATGGATATGTTGGGATGGGTTTTTTTTCTGCATGTGTCCCCCTTCATTTTATAGTTTCTTATTTTGAGATGTAAACTATCCAGGGTCATTTGGGAGCTGAGCAACCTTTAAATCTATTAAAATAAATAATCTTCAATAGCTGTCAAATCTAAATGGCCATAGGGAAAATCACAGTTAAAAAAACCATTTTTTAAAAAATTGTTTGAAATGTAAGACCAAAAAAAAAAAAAAAAAGGAAATAAGGTAGCAAGGATGGGGAATTGCTTCCATACCTCCAATTATGGCAGAATTTCCAGTGAGTATCATGGCCAATTGACCTTATTGTTTAAATAAGAGCTGAGAGCTTGGTCTGTTGTATGGATGTTTGGGTGGTTTAGGGGTGGATTGTTATGTGTTGGACCTGGTCTTTGGGTGTTAAGTGAATTTTGTTGTATGGGTATACTGTGTATACACATACAATGAAGTTATTTATTTATTTATACTATACTAATACAGGTAGTCTCTGACTTGCCACCATTGAATTACAGTGACTGATTGAAGTTACAATGCCATTGAAAAAAATGTCTTTTGACCATTTTTCATACTTATGAACTTTATAGCATCCTCATAGTCATGTGATTAAAATGTGACCATTTGGCAACTGGCATATATTTATCACAGATGGACTGCCTTGGGGTCATGTGATAACTATTTATAACCTTCCTTCAATGGGGAAACTAGATTTGCTTAATGACTACAAGATTCACTTATATTCAATGATTCCCTTAATAACTCTGGCAAAAAGGTCATAAAATGGGGCAAAGCTCACTTAACAACTGCCTTGCTTAACAGAAACTTTGGGCTCAATTGTGTTCGTAAGTCGAGGACTCCCTATCTATACTGCTGCCCTTTTGATAGACTGGGAAAGTTATCATCTTACGGACCACTTACACTTTATATATTTGAGACTACTCTTGCAGCCAGATTTGTTCTCTTCAAGAAAACTAAAAATATTTACTTCCTGAATCTGCACAGGTGAACCCTAATTTCTAGTAGTGATATAAAATACATTTAATTGCATCCTTACGTTCATAGGTTTGAGTTGGTTTCTTCATCTTTCCTCTTTCGTTAGAAATAATGTGTGCTATGCAAGAACAACAAACAGCAAAGAAGACATTTTTGTGTTCTCATCTTTAATGTAAAGAATTATTTTTTTCATACATTGTATAAAAGAATATATGATCATAGTTTGATAGCTCCTCTTAGTTTTGCTGAGCGTCCCCTGGGATTGTTTTTAATTTCTGTATCCTGGGGAGTGAGCACTTTCTTTTCTATAAGTTTCCATTTTGAACTACAATTTTCACCGAATGATTCGTCCTCCTCTTCTACTAAATCCATTCTTGCTCTCCTGATCTTCTGCCTTACACTAAGGTTGAACCTTTCTGAAATGTCTACCCCGTGCAGAAATCTTTTGACAATACGATCTTCTAAAGAATGGAAAGTAATTGCTACAAGTCTTCCCCCAGGTTTTAGAAAATGTTCAGCTATCTTCAAACCTTCATAGAGTTCATGTAGCTCATTGTTGACAAATATGCGCAAGGCTTGAAAAGTTTTGGTAGCTATATGTGCTGGTCTTGAAAGTTTGTCTTTTCGAGCATACAAAATGGTTTCTGGAAAAGCACCTATTTAAAAAAAAAGAAAAAATGAAAATGAAAATATTTTGAATATTTCGAACACCTCTGAATAAATTTACAGTCATTTTAACAGTTAACCATAGTAAATATCTGGATATTGATGCCATTTTAATTTTGGCTTTTGAAATTTTTAACAAGCTAGTGATAATGTCTCTGAATCTCTAGGTTATTCAAAACTTAATCTCATTTCTGGTAAGTGTTGACATTATGCTGGTTCAAGTTGGCAAGTCATAAAGAAATATTTTATATTATTTGAATTCATAATCAGCCAACACAACTTGTTTCAATAAACTGTAGCATCCAACTTCATATATTTTAGATACACTTGAAATAAAAATAATCTATTTTTACTTTTCTGGAAGTCTGCAGTCATTTATATTATTCACCTGTTTTATTTGGCACCATGAAATATAATGAACATTAACTGCTGCTGTTTTCCAACAAATGGATTAAAAATGTAGTTATTTTATTTCATTTTGTTTACAATCTTGCTATTTCTCCTATCAATCTGATTCTGACTTGATGCCAGAGTTTCTTACTAAAAGACTTACCAGTGGACAAACATTCCATTCTATTGCTTGAACCGCATTATTAAATAATGGAAATGAGAACCAATTTTGGTTGTCTGTTGAAAGGTTACAGTTGGGGATATGCCTCATTTCCATTTCACAAAATGCAGAATTTACAATGAATGCCTACATTTAGATGGAGAAAATGTTTTGGTGTCCACAGCAAGTCATAGCTTTTAAATATTTTTCATTTCATACTTTATAATTTAAAGTATCATATATATTTCATCTATATATGAAATTTTCCTTTGACTGGAGCTTCTTGGGAGCAATTAAAATCCTTATATAAGATGCATGCAATTCATATTTAGTTAGGCCATATAATGTAATTTCTATGAAATAGATAACAAATTATGAGTAGATGAAAAATGCATTCATCTAAGGAAGCCTAAGTTCATCATGGCATGGATTTATTTGCCTTAACTGGCATTTGCAGAAACTGGGAGCAATTTACAAATCCTTGATAAATTGTTCAGATTATATATTAAAATAATGCATTGTTACCATATAAATACAGATGTTCCAATAGAGCAACTCTTATAAAACATAATTACGTTTTCATTTAATCTATATACCATCAAAACCTAGGGTTAGCTAGAGTTCAGCAACATCTGGAGAATCATACAGTGCCTAGCTCTAACATTAAAAATGGCAGCATTGTACCATTACAACTCTGACTGAAAATGTTACTGCAACTAAAAATGCAGGCCTAAGAACTTGTGTACAATGTAATCAACAATTTTATTTTGACATAGCCATATTTTTTTTTGCAGATGTCTCCAAACTAGAAAATCAAATACAGCAAGACAAATATTCATTTAAAACTAAAGTGCAAAAAGTGAAACCCACAAGTATTTCTCTTGTGGCCCCTACACTATTCCGAAACTTGGTTCAAATTTTGGCTTCCTTCCAAATTTAGTCTTTTCTTGGCACTTTTTTTTTCTGAATTGGGATAAGGGGTAAAAAAACAGCTGCTACCATTTCATGGTTTAACTCCCCCACCACCAACCTCTTTTTTAGAATGGATTCTAGCACTGTCCATTTTTGAAGTATAGACCTTGCAATACAGCTTCCGAGTCTGACAAAGCCCTTCCGCTGGTGGGAATTATATCTCTTGCTTCCAAAAGACTACTGGAAAACTATATCTCGGTTTACTGTAGCAGGAGGGTTTGTAAAATATGTATGTATTTTATGCCTTGAGGACCTCATAGCCTGGGAACTATTTTTCCTGAATTTATAATACATTTTTTTAAAAGAAGTATCTCAATTATTTCCAAAAATATGAAGTATTGAAGGCAATTTCAGATGCTTAGCAAGCCTTCAATTATACCAACCTGAAACTGAAAAAAATAAAAAGAGAGAGATAACTAGCATAATAAATAGGACAATGTTGCATGAGGATATGCTGAGTGTCAGAGAGGAATACCCATTGTATGATTAAATACATTACCACCCAGGAAGACAGGCATGCCTTTAAGGGGAATTAGAGGTTCTGTGGGCGTGGTTTAATTAGTGGGTGGGGCTTGGTAAAGTGACTGGGTGGGCGTGGCCAAGTCAATGTCACTTCTTTGCCCTTTTTTAACCTACAAAACAAACCCTCCTGCTACAGTAAACCGAGATATAGTTTTCCAGTAGTCTTTTGGAAGCAAGAGACATAATTCCCACCAGCGGAAGGGCTTTGTCAGACTCGGAAGCTGTATTGCAAGGTCTATACTTCAAAAATGGATATGCCATTTTTGAAATTCTGAAGTCCTCCAAATTCATCAATTGTTTTGATGTTAGTTTCTGGTGCTCTTTCATAAAGACCCTATTTGGCAACAATCTGCTTTTCAGATTCCCACCTTCTCAAAAAACCTCAAAGTCTTTTAGTTGGACCTTTCTGCAACTTCCAATTTTATTGACAGTTTTTGGGATATCTGTTAGAGGCTCATTTTGAGGATATAATCCTCATATGCTATGCCTATGAAATGACTGAAGAATTTAGTTTGAGGCAAGATAGGGTTTCTAATTTTAATTTAATTTAATTTAAAGGATTTGCATGACATATGAGTAGATAATGCTCAGTTTTTTTCCCTCTCTTTATGTCAATCTCTAAGCTTCAATTTAACCCTAAAACTCACTGGGGTTCTGAGTAACTGACTGAAAGAAAGTCACTGAATGGCTATGGATCAAGTGAGAAGACCAGCTGTATAGTGGTAAAACAAAGGAACAGAACTGATAATTCATAAATAAATAAGAATTGGATATGTGTTGAACAGATTCTTATTCACTTTAAAAAATGCAGCCTCACAACAGAGAGACCCTTTAATCACAAATATCAGCTGTGAACAGGAACACTTTCACCTTAATTTTCTAAATCAGCTACCTCCATTCCTTGAAAGAGAAGAGCTAGCCATGATAATTAGCTTTGTTACCATTTCAATGTGCAATACTCACTATAAATAAAACATTAATGAATCATACACTAATTACCTAGGTACAGTTATATATTAATTATGTATCTGCAACTTAATATATAAATTAATTATTTTGGCTTACATGCTGCTGTTATTTTGTCTTGTACATTATAAATATAGCTAGTCCTCAACTTATATTAAAGGGTCAGGCTCAAGGTTGACTCAGCCTTCCATCCTTCCGAGGTAGGTAAAATGAGGATCCAAATTGTTGGGGGCAATATGCTGACTCTGTAAACCGCTTAGAGAGGGCTATAAAACACTGTAAAGCGATATGTCTAAGTGCTATTGCTATATGACTATTTGGCGACTGTTTGAAGTTATGAAAAGGCTGAAAAAAGTGACTTATGACTGTTGCAGTGTACCCTGGTCATGTGATCTAAAAATCAGGCATTCAGCAACCATCTAAAATTATCCCAGTTACAGCATCTTATGGTCATGTGATTGCCATTTACAATCTTCCCAGAGGGCTTCCAACAAGCAAATCAATGGGGGTGGCCAGATTCATTTAATGACTGTGTGGTTTGTTTAATGACCACAGGAAAAAAAGTGCAGTTACAAGGAAGTAAACACCAGAAACCAGCAAAAGCTGCTAAAAACCACAGTCACAAAAACCTGCAACAGTAGTAAATTTGAGCCAATTGTCAAGCACCCAAAATGTGACAATATCTGTGTGTTTTGTGTATCTGTGCCCAGCTGGAAACTTAGGAACTGGGTCATAAGGAGTTCTGGGGAGGTCTATTGTAAATTCAAACAGTCAATAAGCAACTGAACATTAACAAAGACTACCTCTAATAGTAAAAACCCTACAAACATTGCTAAATATATACCAGGGGTAAAATGCTCCTGGTTCGGACCGGCTCGGGTGAGTAGGTAGCGATGGCGGCGGGCAGTTCTGCCTTCCTTGTACCTTCTATTGCAGGGCTCTCCAACCTTGGCAACTTTAAGACTTGTGGACTTCAACTCCCAGCAAAGCTGGCTGAGGAATTCTGGGAGTTGAAGTCCACAAGTCTTAAAGTTGCCAAGGTTGGAGAGCCCTGTTCTATTGGGTAAGTTTTTTTTCCCTTTGGGAGCTTTAAAAAAATAGTTAATTGGGTTTTTTTTAGTTGTTCTTTTTTTAGACCTAGCCATTTAAAGTTTAGGAAGTTTTAAATTTAGCTGCTTTTATATAAAAATAAAAATAAAATAAAATAAAATAATATTTGTGCAGCTTTCTGAGATTTAGTGTGTTTCTGTAGTGTTTCACTCTAACTACACAAACACACAAAATCTCACAAAGCTGTATGTGGAATTTTGTGTGTTTAAAGTGTGAAAGTTGGTTTTTTGGGCTTTTTGTGGCTGTGTGAGGTTCCTGCTTGTTGCAGGGGCCATTTTGGGTCTAGCACAGTTGCTTTTACATTGTGGATGAGCAAGTTGTGTTGTGTTGTGTTTTGTAGGTTAAAAAAGGGCAAAGAAGTGACATTGACTTGGCCATGCCCACCCAGTCACTTTACCAAGCCCCGCCCACTAATTAAACCACGCCCACAGAACCGGTAACAAAAAATTTTTAGATTTCACCCCTGATATATACCTTAGTATTTTAGTTATACTATCTATTGCCATAGTTGGCTGTCTTTTAAGAAGCCTCTATGAACTTCAACAGATTAGAGTATGACATCTAGGCTAATAATTGAAAAGATAAATTTGGTCCTGGAGTGAATTGATGTACCCATTTCTAGTTTGTTTCTAAGTAGAGATCAAAGTAATGATGATTTGTGTTTAAGTGTTTTATATTTAGACTAGAATATCTGAAGAACATTGCCTTTTATTTAATGTCGCACTAAGTTTGATAAACAGAAAAATATTTTCATATTTACATAGTGATATTGTTCTTTGCTTTTGACTACTTTTAAAACAAATGAATATGGATACAAAGGTTGCAAAATAAAGAAATAAAAGACCAGGAGGAAGCCAGAGAAAAAGCAAAAGAAATAATTTGGTTATGTTTTCCCTCCTAATCTCAGTTTAAACAGATTGAGTCCAGTCAAGAAAATGAAAATGGATAGACAGAAAAATTTCATTCTTCACCACTGGTGGCTCAGGAAAAAAAAAATCTAATCTAGTTTACACCTTTGCAAAAAAAAAAAAAAAAAATGCTGGCAGTGGAAGAAAAATCTGCTTGGTAACAAGCTTTACTAGAGATAATAATAGAACAGAATAGATTTCATTCATAAAAATACCATGCTTCTGGAAGATAAATGATTTAAAATCCCAAGGAGAAAGAAAGTATCTGTTGTTTAGTTTTAGTTTGAGGATATTCTGATATTGCATAATGATAAAAAAAACCTAATAGATGTGCATGTTAAAATGCACTAAATTGTTAAGTTTCTGAATTAAATTCACAAACACTGTGCTTGCCAGCATGCAAGACCTCTTTATGAGAGAGAGTATTATGACAGACTTTAGAAATTAATTCTTGTTAGAGGAATTTCCTGCTGAATCTGAAACATATTTAATAAGTTTCAATGACGCAGCTTATATCCTTTCATCGAGGAAGTGGTAACAAATTTTAATATCCAACTGAAATGCTATAAATTTTCAAATTATTAATTAAAATAACTGAATTTGGACCAACCTGAATAAAATTTGTTTATTGACTATGACTGTTTAAAGAGATAAATTAGCTTATACGTTTCAATTTCTTGACAAGTTAAATTCTCATAAGTCAATTACTACCTTATTATTAAATCAAATTAAGACAAAGAAAACTAAATTTTATTTTTGTTTTTTGATCAGACAGAAAGAACAAATAGGTATGTTTAGAAGCTGATTTTTTTTTTGCATCATTACAATGGTTCCTTGATGAAACTATTATTTTAGATTTCATGATTGAACAGAAGAGTTGGATTCAGTGCCAAAAATGGCTCTTTTAACTCTATGATTCTTTCTGTGAATAAACACATTGTGTCATTCTAAGAGTTTAGCATAGATTGTCAAATGTTATATATTATACGAAAATATATTTACTTATATGAGTCATGTGAGACCCAGTTTGGTATAGTGGCTAACGGCACTAGGCTAGAAATGGGAGACTGTGAGTTCTAGCACTGCCTTGGGCATACAACACCAGCTAGGAGATTTTGGGACAGTCACTCTTTCTCAGCCTTAGGAAGAAAGCAAGAGCAAACAACTTCTAAAAAATGTTGCCAAAAACCTGCTTGGAATTTTTCAGGCAGCCATACACACCACCCATCACTGGAAAATCTGCCTTATTGTGGTTTTGGCAATATAAATTTTCCACCTGATCATGAAAAAATAAATTGATTAAAATTCAGTATTGCTATTGCTTATCTAATATTGTAAGGCACCTACCCATCCTATTAATTGAAAAATAAGAAATTATGAAAAATGACTACGTACAAATATTTTCAGTAATCCATAAGGAGAAAAGATGAAATAAAGGGTATTAGGAATATTTCCTTCATATGGAAATCAAGAGCTAAGTTAAATAGGTTTAAATAGTTTAAGGGACAAATATCACCTCTTATCCTGGGATATTTATTTGCCAGTAGATGGCAATGTCCATTCTCCAGTAGTTTTGAATGTCTGAGTACCTACACATATTCAGCATCCTGAAGCTAGCAAAACATTCTCATTAACTACACAATTCTTGAACAACAATATTAAAAGGATCCATTGTAACAGGAGCACTAGTGGAGAAAGTGGAATCACCAAATAAGAGGAAAAAGAGGCATTTTGGGAGATAATCATAAGCCTTCTAAACATTGTCACATTTTTCAAGTGTTTTGCAAGTTTTGTCCCAAAAGCTGGTAAAAGGCTGAGGAGATATTTTACCAATTTGATTATAACTGTTACTGTATAATTCTTGGAAAGGCTGTGTCACCTGCCTCCTTCCTGACATTAACATAGTACTGAAAGAAAGATATGTCTAAATTCAGAATTATACATATTTTACTGTAGGTGTATGGCCACTGTTTAAATTATGTAAAGATATAGACATTTCCAAATCTTTGAATCTTTACTTAATGAAACAGCCATCATTACTATCTGAGCCTCTGGAACTCTGGAAAGATGTTAAAAGTCAGATTCAACCATGCTAATCTTTATGAATCAATCATCAGTCTCCACAATGGCAGGTTGATATTTGTTTTCTCAAATTTATATGGCCACTCATCTCATGTGAAGTGATTCTGGGCTTGCACAATAACACCTCCTATTAAAGTATACTACAAAACCACTTAAAAACAATTGAAACAGTAAAACAGATAAAAATGCTAGGAAACAAATAACAGAGAGAAAAAGGTGAATTAATTTGAAAAAAAAATTAGTATTTGTAAAAATATAAACTGTGGAAAACTGTCATAATTACAATCACTATACAAAAAGCATACTCCATGTTTTTGCTGAGCAGCTTTAACATCTATTGATTTTTAACAGGAGTTAAATCACACATCTAGAAGTCTTCTAAGACCACAGATGATGGCTTCCTATAGGAAATTGTGAAATGGTGATCCATCAATTATTTAATGATTAAAACCTGCTGTACAGCAAAATCTGCCTCTTTTTTTCAAGTTCTATATACCCATGGTATATAGGTAGATAATATGGGTAGATACTTATCTGAAGTACCCAGAGTAGGTTTTTTAAAAAAACAATAATTGCAACAATAGGATTATACTCAATAAAAACAATTAAAAATTAAGTCTGGGAGGGGGAGTGTATGATCCCTCTCTGCACAAGACAGTTTTCTTTTCAACTAGCTTTTGTAAAGAAAAAAGATCATATTCAATGAATCTCCCTGGGAAGGGACTTCAAAAGGAAAATCTCAGAATTCAAAGGACTCTATATCTGTTCACTAAATTCATTCAAGACTGGACCATTTTATAGGGGTGGGTGGGATTGTCACAAAGTCCTAAGCATTTCTCCAAACATGTAGTCATATGTTTTATTAAGTCCTCTTAATTTTATTAGTGTCAGTGATTGAAATATCTTACTAATCAGCCTGTCTTTACAGCCAATAGATAGCACAATGTATAAATAACCAACCTGCCTTATAACAAAATAAGATTGTGGAAATAAAGACAAATAAATGGTTTCATTCGGATAGGTAAAGGCTTCTTGCCTAACATTCCTTCTGTTCTTATCATCTCAGACTTCACCTTGATAGGCAAAATTATAAATGTCATCATGTATAATCTATTATTAAACTAATCATCATTCGACAATATAAAAAGGCAGAGCATATGGGGAAAAAAATAGCTGACATCAGAGCAGGATAGACAGGATTAGATCCCGCACGATTTCAAGTACAAATAGATCCCTCTGGGACTTGTGGATTAATATTTTTTCCCTTTCGGACATTGCACAGAATTAATGAGGATACCTGCAATAATGCTGGCAAGCTGCCGCGTTCTGGTGATGGGATAGATGCTGCGTGCCTGAACAATTGTTGAAGCTATTTTTTTGGCATGCTTCTCCTCCCCATATGTTTTCAGGACGGACGCAAGTGCCTGTTGATCTAAAGCATTCACAACATCAGCAGCAGTGGGCGTGTCAGGATACCTACGCACAAGAACAGCCAATTAGTTCACTGACGTCAGCCTCCATTGACAAGGGGTGAAGCTTCACAGCATTAAGTCAAAGTCAAACACACACTTGCTGCATACAAGTACAGAGATTTTACAATAAGAAAACAGAAACTGCTTCTATCTTTAAAGTATCTTCTTAAACATACATATAGAGGTTCATTCCCATAATAACTTCAATATTATAAAGTTGACGAGTATAGCCATAGTTCAAATATAATTCAGAAAGACAAAATATTGCATAAAACTAGAAGGTGAATTCATTTCAGAAGCAGACTTTTTTTCCCCCCCGAGACATCGCATTGCTTTTTCTGTTCCCTGATCAAAAAAGAGAACCTTAATCTCTCTGACCTTTTTCCTCAAATCTAATATTATGGAAAATAATCTACCATGAAGAAAATGTGATGTATTTAATGATCACTTAAAGGTCTCACCATTCAGAAATGGTATTAAAAGCAAAAGCAAAAAAGAACTGAAATCAATCAAGTTCAGTCATGTTCCTAAAATACCAGGGGGAGGAGGCAGGAAAGCAACATTTATTTTAATTTTCCTTTTAAAACTGAATACATATACATACCGTATATGTACGTACACAGTTTTGATTTAGAATGTTTTATGAAAGATGTTTCATAAAACACTGGGCATATTTGGCTACAATAAATATAAGCAGGGCAACTGAATACAGATGAACGAAGAAGAAAAAATATAGCTATTCCAATTTCTTTGAAAAATAATTGGTCAGAGAAGCTGGTTTGCATCAATCTACCAATTTCAACAGTGTTCAAAACAATGAAAAAAAATCTTCAATTAGTTCTTCAGTAGGAAATCTTGAAGGAAACAACTCCTTCAAAATTACTTGTACTGCTTTTATTTTCAAGTTACTTCAGTCAATTTCAACTGGATGAAAGTTTTTTTTTTTTAACAGAAAAACAGATTATATTTTTAGAAATGTTATTATCCACAAAGACTGGTCCAGAGCAATCTTCTCAACATAGCCACTAAAAGCTAGGAAATTTTTAATTCTAGATAACAACAGACCAAAAGGACAAAAAGTAAATTAGAGGAATTTAGGCATTTTTCCTTTCTTTCTGAATTTTTCCCCAAATTACAGATTGACGTAGTATGTCACTTCCCATCTTGACTATTGCAACACGCTCTAAATGGGGCTGCCCTTAAAGAGCATCCGGAAATTCCAGTTGGTGCAAAATGCAGTGGCCGCATGGTTTTGTGCAGACCCCGGTGTGCACATGCATTACCTCTCCTGCAGGAGCTGCATTGGTTGCTGATTTGCTTCCAGGTGCAATTCAAGGTGCTGGTTAAAGCCCTTCATGGCTTGGGAACAGGTTTTCTGAGGGACCGTCTCTTGCCGGTCACATCTATCCGACCCATCAGAGCGGGGAGGCAGGGAATGTTGCGGGTCCCATCCCCGAAGGAGATACACCTGATGGGACCCAGAAGAAGGGCTTTCTCCGTGGTGGCTTCCTCTCTCTGGAACATCATTCCCCCAGAGATTAGAACGGCACCCACTCTAATACTCTTCTGGAAGGCACTAAGGACCTGGTTCTGTCAACGAGCCTGGGAAACCCAGAGCGAGATGGAGCCCATTAAATGGCTCATGTGATCTGCTGTCCCCGGGCGGTGGGTGGGTGTATATTGTACTATATTAATTTTATTTCATTCTTTTTATTAGTTTTATTGTTTTAAATGTGGCTTTATATTCTGTAATCTGCCTTGAGTCGCCATGGGTGAATAGGCGACAATATAAATTTAATCAATCAATCAATCAATCAATCAATCAATGTTATATAGTTTGATTGTTTCCACAATTGTCTAAATTTACCTTTAATCACAGCAGATAGCCAAGGGAATTTGGAATTTAGACAACTAAAAGCTGCTTCAAATCTTTCCCGTGTTAACCTTAATCACACTTTCATTTCAGTTATAACTCTCTTCATTCAAGTTGATGTAGAATTGCTACAAGATTCTTATAGTGATCTCTCTTTTGTTTAGTAATTTTATCTCTTCTGTTTAGTAATTTTATCTCTTCTGAAAATGCCTCTGCCAGCCAAAACAGAGCTTGGGAGGGCCGCGGGGAGCCCTTGCAAGCTCCCTTTTTGTAGGCAGAGGGTTGCAGGAGGCTGTCGCAGCTAAAACGGAGCTCAGGTGCCTGTTTCTGCTGGCAGAGCACTCAGGCCACCACAGATGCCCCCCCCGACACAAGTGACATCAAGCTGGTCACCCCCTCCCCCCGAAGTCAAACACAACCCTGATGCAGTCCTCGATGAAATTGTGTATGACACCCCTGATCTATCGTATCCTTCCCAAGGATCTGGGACATTGTCACAGGATGTAAGCTGTTCCCCGTAAAGCTGCCTTTTGCAATTAACTGATAGTTATTTTTGTCAATGTCAATGGTGTTCAAGTGGTGGTCCAGATGCTTTGGTATTGTTGATAGGCTCAAGAAGCTGATCACTATTGATACTATCTTTGCTTTCTTCTGCCACAGTTGTTCTACTTCTAATTACTGTATTATTATGGTTCATTGCAAAGGCAGCTAAATGTTTAGAGTGTATTTCACTGTTTTATCTACCTATCAAGTCCTTCAAAGACCTTGGATACACAGATGTTGCTTGATAATGTTAAAGTTACCATTGTAGGACATAAGCTGTTTCAAGTAAAACTGCCTTTTGAAATTAACTTATAGTGATTTTGTCAATGACAATGATATTTAGGTTGTACACCAGAAGTTTGGGGACGACACCCAAGGTGCTAATCACTTTTGGTACTATATTTGCTTTCTTTTGCTACAGTTGTTCTACTTCTATTTGCAGATCTTTGTATTTTGTGATGTTTTCCAGTTCTTTCTTTTATTTTGCTTTCTCCATATATTGCCTCATCCATTATCCTGACTTCTTTGTCTTTGTTAGTGACAATTGTTAAGTCTAGGGTGTTATGTGCCAGATGTTTGAATGCTTGAATTGAAGTTCCAAAGCATATTAGCTACTTTATTTTATTTTACTTTTCTATTTTATTCTCCAACCAGTTCTTGCTTGCAGGCAAATGGTATTTCTTGCAGCTCTTCCAATGTACCATTGTTGCTACTTTGTCATGCTTTATTATAATCACTCTGTGCAATCTTTTTGTAGTGCCTAATTAGGTAGTAACTGTTTCTCCAGCTTCATTGCAAAGATGACATTTGCTGTCTATTGCTGTCTTCTCAATTCTGGCTTATATGCATTTTTTCTTAAGCCCTGGTCTTGTGCAGGCAGAACTGTCCCTCTCTTCTTTCAACTTTCCTCCTCTTAACCATTGTCAGGTCTTGTTATCTGCTTTCCCTGCTAACTCTCTCCCTCTCTCTGTGTGTGTGTTCGTGTGTGTGTGTATAATGGCCAAGTAGTACTTTGCTTTGCCATGTCTCTTTTCTGTTCTTCATTTGGTCTTTCTTTAGGCAGGTTTGGTTTCTTTCACATTGAATAAGTTTTCATGAGGTACTAGCTTCAGTGCATCTTCTTCATTATCCTTTAGGTATTCTTCAAATGCCTTTTTTTCTTCTGTTTGCCACAATCCCCACTAACTTATGCCCCTTGATAAATAAGAGTCTGTCAACATCTTTGCATGGATGAAGGGCATGATTCACTGTCATTATTTTTCTCATCTTCCTCTCAAGGACTGCTTGAGTTCAGTCCATTATTCCACCTGGGTATTTAATGACTGGAATCACTGAGGAGTTTACTGCCTTAATGGTAATTCTTCCACTGAGTTTGGACTTCTTCACTCTCATGATGTATTCACTACTAACCTTATCTTAACTACTCTGTACTTGATATTATCAGTTTGAAGGATGCCAAGGTATTATATGTCTTTTAATTTTTGATTGGGATATGTCCACGATTGGATGAAAGATGGACTGCTATATAAATCTATCTATCTATCTATCTATCTATCTATCTATCTATCTATCTATCTATCTATCCATCCATCTTCTTCACCCAGATTCTTGATGTTATTACCTTAGGGCATTTTGATTCATTTAGGGTGATAAGGGTGGCACATTTGTCTAATCCAAACACCATTGCAATGTCATGGTTGTATATATAGACAGGGTTGAGTAGTGATTCTACTTCAGATGTGTTTTTGGGGTTCGATATTCATGGCCTAATGCAGGGCTGTCAACTCGCGGCCCATAGGCCAGATGCGTCACGTGCTGGCCACGCCCGGTTTAGTGAAGGGGAAAAAAGTCCAGATACGTCATGTGATGCGGTCATGATGCCGTGAGTTTGATACCCCTGGCCTAATGTGTTCAGTGTTGTTGGCAGAGGAATTAATGCAATGACAAACAGTAGTGATGACAGTGAGTCTCCTCGAAAGATTCCTCTCCTGATGTTTAACTTCTCCCAGTCTATCACTATTGACCAACAACTGTGTCTTCTACTGTGCAATTGATCTTTCTGATGTTTCTAATGACTCCTGTTATTTCTAGGCCCATCACTGGCAGGGAGTCAAATACCTTGTTGTAATCAATCCAAGCTACATTCTAATTGGTCTTCCTTCTGCAATTTAAAAAAAAAAATCATTTTGTCAATTAGGAACTGGTCTATTCCTCTGCTATTTGGGCAGCTTCCTTTCTGCCTGGATGGGAAGAGCTTGTTTTCAACTTCATGTAATCAGCTACAACATTAATTAGCCATCTGAAAGTAGTTGGCAAGCAGGTAATTAGCCTGGAGTTGCTTTGTTTTGTCCCTTTTGTTGGATCTCTGATTATCAGATGCCAGATATTAACTAATCTTCAATTTCACCTCCTTGCAGTATATTGTTAAACTGCTTGGCAAAGAGTGTGTACAGTTTATCTTCACCTGGTGCTGATTTTCCTTCTCTTTCTCTCTCCCACTTTTGCTGTTATTAGAAGTTCTTTCATTTCAGCTTTTTAAAAATTCTTTTTTTTTTTTTACAATTATCTAGTTCTTTTTTTTTATTGTTAAGGTTAGTAAATATGCTATATTTAGTTAAAACACTGATGCATAACAAAAAGAAACTGATCTATTGTCCAAACTTAAATGTACTGAAGCAAAGTCAGTAGTTTTGCTTTAATCTGCTATTTAGAACCCCTGTTGAATCAAGATACATAAAATTGCTATAAGGCTGCTGAGGATATTTCAAGAGTTTAACTTCCCACTGTTGATCATTCTGCTTTGATATAAATTACTAAAATACAATCCATATTTGGGCTTTGTAATTTACTGATATTTGTTTTTTCCAGATTCCTTTCTTTTTATATATATATTTTTATTATTAAAATATAAACAAAAATACGACAATACAAAACAAACAAAACTCCCACCACCCACAACACCCACACAACATTTTACATATATACTTTTTGTCATCAACAGTATATATAGTATTTTTCTTTACAAATTAATGAGCAGTCCCTCCACTGATGGATTAATAAAAACATTTCTGATTTGACTAAAGCTGGAGGTTCTGCATATAGCGTACAATTCTAGTTTGGTATCTGCTGATTTTCTTGGCTATAGCTGTTATTTCATGCTTTATTATTTCCAGTGCTTTTTAAATCTTCCTTGTTTCTAGGAACATTCCCGGTCAGCTTGTTCACATCAGCTGTCAATTCAAGATCTCGTACATCAAGATCAGGGGTGAAACGCTCCCGGTTTGGACTGGATCGCCCGATCCGGTAGCAATGGCGGCGGATGGTTCGGAGAACCGGTAGCAAAAATCCCTGCCCAGCTGAGCCACATGATCATCTGAGCCTTTTTTTTTACTTTTAAAAGCATTTTTTTTACAACCTCTTCGGCTGAAGAGGTTGTAGAAAAAAATGCTTTTAAAAGCCTCTGACAATCCCAGCTGAGTTGCCTAATCGTCAGAGGCTTTTAAAAGCATTTTTTTCTGCAACCTCTTAAGGTTGTAGAAAAAATACTTTTAAAAGTAAAAAAAAAAGTTGGCCACGTCCACCCAGTCACATTACCCTCCCAACCAAGCCACGCCCACAGAACCAGTAGTAACAAATTTTACATTTCACCACTGGTCAAGATCTTTCAAGACCCTACAATGTCATAATGTATTGGTGTAGTATATGTGTGAATTGAAGCAGTGTGGCCTTTGTAATTGACAAGTGGAAAAATTGTCAACACCCAGAGTTTCTCCATCTATCCAACATTTTTGGTCTGCTGTAGCCACCAGGACCCCATGGCAAGTTTAATTATTATTTATTTATATTTATATTGTTCGTATAATTTATTGAATCATTGTCTCTAGGACTATTTTTAACAATGCATATCTGTTTATTGTTGCATATACTTGGCAGACTATTCAAATATCATACACATATATGTATGTATAGGATTACATAAATGTAGTTCTCCAGTGAGCTACATAAATCCAAAGAAATTAAAATATTTATCACATTGATACTAATAAACAGCAGTTATTCAGATTAAGCAATTTTAAAGTAGATAATACCATCAATAATTGAACAAATCTAATACAGATTTATTGTGATTCCTGTAAAATAGCCTGGAATAAAATCATCATTGTCTAATTTGACTGGTCAGCAAGATATACACAAGGGAATGGCTTCCCCTATTTAATTCTATTGTATCCATTATAATCATTCAGGACTTGGTCAGGACTTGTTTCAATTTTAAAAGACAGATTTAGAACCAATACCTTTATTAACATTTATAACAATTTAACTGCTGGGGAGAGGGACAGGAGGGGGAAGTAGAAGAGATAAAAAAATCTGGCACTAAATCCTGAAAATACAGCATAGAATATTATTTTGTCAAAGGAAATAAAAACTGATTTATTATATACTGTATTATGCAGAGAGATATAGCAAGGCACTCTGAAAGGGAAATTAAATTCTGCCTGCTGTTGAGAAATTGATTACTTAAAAAAAAAAAAAACTTTTATCAATAGATACCTGTCACCGTCCATCCTCATGTCCAACGGGCCATCCTTTTTTAGGGAAAAACCTCTTTCTGGGGTATCTAACTGGAAAGAAGAGCAACCGGCATCCAAAAGAACACCATCTAAACTCGCTGGCTGTACTCCAGAAGATGTTAATAAGGCTTCTGCTTGACTAAACGATCCTAGAAGAGGCTGTATTTGTTGCCTATAAGAGCACAAAGGAAAAGATAAATATATACATTTGTTATTAGTAAAGCTACATTTAACAATAATACTCTCCATATTTTATAGGAATATAGGTGTGTTTTATTGTTGTACTGTTTTCTTCTTCTTATGTTTTTAATCCTTGCTAGCTGCTTGGTTGAGTGGAAGGCTATATAAATTGAACAAATAATTAAACAGATAATAATTGACAGGCTGTTTATAAAGCAACAACAAAATCTATGGTAAATATCACTGTGGTGTTTCTAATGTTAAAATTTAAGATTTTTAAGGAACTTGCACAATTTATTTTTTTTCTCAGTACAGCCTTTAATAATTCTATTTTTTTTGGGAAGTAAATATGAAGAAACAGAATAGCCAAAAGTGAGATTGAAGTGTTTTTATACATCTTTCTCATAGCCAGCAAACACAAAATAAATTAAAAAACCAACTCTATTATAATTACAATTTTTCAATGGATGTCTTTCTTAATTATACTACCATAAACTACATTTTTAGGTAGGTAATAACATATTGAATCCTATGAACCTTTACAGGGAAGATTCATTAACAAAATCATTGGGGAAAACGTAGAGGTTGGAAATTATGACAATTTTGGCCAAATTACTTTTATACTATTCAAGACAAGTTCATAACTTATACCAATTAAATGTTTATTTTTCAGCAGAATAAATAAAATGAGGCATAATATTGGCTCTATGCTATAAAAAATAAATATTGTCTAGGGAAGATACGTTTTAAAGTATTCTTGGTAAGTAAAATAAATTTAAAGTGCTATTACGACTTTGAAGTCTTCTCTGTTACTTTATTGAAAACATAGTCTGTACATCTGCCCAGTTATTCTAACATCAAAAGAAATGATGTGTGTCCCAAATGAGTAACAGTTCTTTGAACTAATGCAGACGTTTTGTCAAGATCATTGAGGTAAATAAAATAATCTTCAGAAGCTGACATAGCGTTAACTATCAACAGGCAACTCATGAATGACTAGTCTTGACATTATTGTCAGATCAATTCCTGAATGAGACTACATAGAGACATTTCTCAACTACTTATCTGAGAAGGGCAAGCATGAGAGGGAGGGGAGGCAAGGGAAAGGAAGGTGAGTAATTTAGAAAAAGGTTAGAACTAAGAATGAACAGACAAACAAATAATCTTGCACAGATAATATCTACTAGAAATATCTAATAACTTTCATCCACAATGTGTATCACTTATTATCTGAAGAATTTCCAGAGGTAATTCCAGAATTTTATAGGCCACTTGGTTCTTGTGGAATTCTAGAATAGCAGTTCTACAATCTTCCAGACAAGGGAAAACTGAAGTATTGTGCCAAAGTGTCGAATGCTACTTTTGTTTCAAAAATACATTGCTGTATAAAAGGGAACAAGCATCATAAATAATGCAAGTAAAAATAAAGAACAGAAAAAAATGAGAAAAAACATTAACAACTCTTTCTTTCTCACTTTCCACATTTCCAGTTACCATTTGACAGCTCATTGCAGCAACAGATAATTCCAAAATCAAAACATTCTATCAATGAAATTTAGAGATTAATATTAGCAACTTAGTGCTGCCTGCCAACACTCAAAACTTTCTGCAAATAATGTGCAGAAGATGTTAGGTTACCTGAGAACCTTGTTACCAAATTTCAAAAAGGAAGACAGGTCTAGAGACAATTCAACCCTCTCTCCAAGTGGAAATTTATGTGGACATTCAATTTGAACAAGACTTAAACAACTAATTTATATTAATTACTTCCAGTAATTTAGGATGGGTTCAAACAATGTTAAAACTTAGAATTCAATTTTTGACAGACCAACTGCAATTAGTACTTTGTTCAATAGGATCAAGATCCTGGAAATGTCTTTAATTAAATGGTTACCCTGGAAAAGGCAGACAACATCAGACAAGTTTCCAATTAAGAATGATAGTTTTATCATTTAGAAAGATTGGACTTCTTTTTGAAGGGTGAGGGTATGAACAACATTTATGTTTGCTTTCTAGAGGGAGAAGACATTGACATATATCTTTCTTGCTCCTAATCTTTTTCATCTTAAGAGGAAGTTCTGTAAAAATATCTTTGCAATATTTCCCTCCTTCTTGGTGCTGTTCATTTTTGACTCCATTAACTTATCTTGAAAAGCTAAGAAAACCCAAGGGATAAGTATATCCTCATTGACACCATGCCCCATATATTGTAACTTCATGCACTTGTCCTTTTCCTTGGTAGAGACATAGTTTGTCGTTGCCTGCTTCCAGAATATTTTTAAATTTTCCAGTGTACCCCGTCACCCTGGTATTCCCCAAAGGTCTCCCTTGATACCACTAACCAGGCCTTATCAGCTTCTGAGCCCAGACAAAAGCAGCCAGACACACCAATACTAGGTTGGCACACAAATAATCCATTAATAATGATGATACCAGCCATCACCAAAAGTATATATTAGGCAGGTTTTTCCTTGCTGCAAGTGATAGGAGGAAAGGCAGGATATGGGGAAAAGGTATAAACTTTCCTTACTTTATATTTCTTTTTTTTCAGGCCCATGTTTTGAATTGTATGGAACAAAGGAAAAAGAGCAGGGTTAGGGGTTAGGGACAAAGAGAGAAGCCTTATTTATGCATTACATTTTAAATTTTTATTTTTTTATTGCTTTAAAATTTTTAAAATTGTTTTAACCATTTTAAATTTTTAGAATTTTAAGCTACCCAGTCACTTGGCTCAGCTGTATGGCTATAAACGTTGAATGAATGAATGAATGAATGAGTCCCTTTAAAGCCAGTTAATCATCAAATGCCTTTATTTACTTATACCTCTGCTCATTCCTGGTTCTTCTATTATCAGTAAGTGTAAGACAACTGTATCAATTTGCTGTTAATTACTTGAAAAATAGTGTTAGTAAAAGTGAGATGTTTACTAAGTCATTTTATGTGTCTTATTACTTGCATTAATGTTCAGTAGCATTCATTATTAGAAAATTATGAATGATTAAATGACTCCCACAAAATTTTAAATAAAGCACAAATCTCTGTTCCTTTTATACCATTTTTAGCAGTTGGCAATTGCTCTTTGTTCTGAAAGGAGATTAGACTTTCCTTAAAGCTCCAAGTTAGAATCTATTCAAACAGTTGAACAACTGAAGCATCATATTTTTATTTTCAACATTATTCTCACGTTAGAAGTTGAAATGAAAAAAAGTTTTTGTTTGCAGTGAATCAGAATTTTAAAACCCTATAGTGCAGGGCTGTCAAACTCCTGGCCCATGGGCCGGATGCGTCATGTGCTGGCCACGCCCCCGCCCAGTTTAGCAAAGGGGGGGGGAAAGTCCCAATACGTCACATGACACCGCTGTGACAATATGAATTTGACACCCCTGCTATAATGGGCGCTAGCAAAATGTAGACTTTATGAAGGTCTAGAGGTTTTTTTCCCCTGTTGATTATGAGCACTTATAGCTCTCATATCTAAATAGAAATGGGGATTCCCATTTTTATTTTGTCATACTGCAAACTTCAAAAAAAAATTCTTTGTCCTTATTTTGCAATATACACATGATCAGTATAAATTCAGAAATATGAGTGTGGTCAATAAACTAGTATGAAGAAGAAACAAGCACAGAAGGAATTAAATAAATTTTGTAACAATGGATTTATACCAATTCTATTGCTGAGATGTACCATTTTTGAAACTGTATAGAAACCAGTTTTCCTTCTTTCTATATTGAGCAGGAACTCTAATTGGCCAGAAACAGTCATTAAAATTTAACTGGATTTTTGAAAACACAACTGCCAAGGGGTAATGCATCACTAATAGTTTCTAGTGGAATAAATAGCAGTTCTGACGTCAAAACTTCGTTATACTCCAATAACCTTCTCACCTGGGGTTTCAGGTACAGCAAGTTATATGTCAATTTTAGATAAAGATCTAAAAATAGAATGCATGGCAAATCACACTGTCATTATTCTATCTGACAATATAATTTGTGCTCCATAAATGTTTGGAAGTATAGAAATAACAGTGTTTGCTTCAGGAAGACTCTCTCCTATCCCCCTTTATAGTGCATTTAGAAATTTTAAATTAAACCCCCTTCCTACAAAACACTTCCCATTGCATTTTATATTCTCATGTGAACATAGCAAAACAAAAACAAGAAGCAGATGCTGGAAATATATGCAAATGACGTACCGATTGTGCTTCAACTTCCAGGGCTGAAAATTAATCATGCCTCTACTAACCTTGTTAGTGTGTCAAAAAGAGAAGCCACAATACTTTACACTGCACAAAACTGATAGGCTAATGAGAAAAATGGTTGCACATTCTCTTCTTTAGGAAGAAAGAGTTTAGTGCTGCCAAAATCTCTGTTCCAATATCCAAAAATACTTTAAAAAATGCTCTGGATTTCTCTACATAAATTTTTTAGAGAGTATTGTATTCAGGAGGGCGGGTAGAAGAAGAAAATCTTAGTGTAAGATGAAGCCCATTTGTTCCATGCTTTGTCCTTCAGAACCTTTCTTATATAACGTCAAAACACTTGATCGATTCCACTGAATTCATCAGTGGAAAAAAAATCAATAGTCATGATTACAGAGTCTTTGTAGAATTATTTTCCCCAATATCCAATGCATATATTTACAACTCCAAGTACCTACAGTTTTACTTAAATTTCCTAGTGTCCAAGCTAGACCCTTCAGGACTTCTAGTAATGCACCCATGATTGGGCTGTTCTCTTTCTTTCCACCTTTACTAGCATTATAGACTTCTCTAGAAAGCTAAGTCTTCACATGTGACATGATAATTTAAGTGTGATAATTTGTGCCTCAAATGAAAATTTGGGTTTGATTTGCTTGATTATCCATTTGCTTCTTGGCTATCAATGGTATTCCCAGATGTTTGCACCAAAACCAAAGTTCATTCATTTGGTCTTCATATTTAACCTTAGTCCCTTTTTATTTTTTACAGGTATCTTGTACTATCTGTATTCC